ACCTCCATTTCAAGTACCCTGTTTAGTCCCCCTGAGCCATTGATTTTTTCCCAGAAATTTCAGGATTCCCAAGTTTTAACTACAAGCATGAAAGTCCTTTGTCATACCAAGTGACTTGAGTTTGATTTTCTCAAAATACGGATCACCAGAGGAGAGGTAAAAAGCCGAAAAAAGTGAAATAACTCCTGGCTTTCAAAATCATAAGTACGCAGGTGGGACAGGTACAGTATTTTAACAGATAGGGTTTTACAATACCCGCATTGAAAGACAGAGCATTAGACATTCACTTCTGAGAATCAAGTATCATAAGAAAAGGATAATTTAGGTCTGACTTTGTTTTATGAGCTTCTCTGCCACGTCCTGCTGCCTGAGGGGCTGGGCCAACTTGCGGCTTCTCTCCCATGAAAAAGGCAGGAGAGAATTCCCATAGCTCCTGGCTCTTGCAAATCGCAGTCTGAGGATTACATTTGTCTTTTCTCTTGAAAAATAGCCAAATCTGTATTTGTCGATAATCCCTTCATGCCGCGCTGTTCATTTTTCCAGTCACAAAGCTTAGGAAGTCGTAAACACTCTGCCAACACAGAAGTCTGCTAGGCACATCTTGGTGGTTCTATCCAGAGGGAAGGAACAGACGTCTCAGGTGAGCAGGGCGCCTGCATATGTAGCCAGTTATTGTCCCAGTGCCACAGGTTATTGCTGTGGACGCCTGCTTAGATCTGTTCACCTAGCCAGAGCTTTTATCCCTCAGTTGCAATAAGGTTTTGCAGCTAACAGCATCCTCCCTTTTCCAGAAAATTGTCCTCAGCTAAATGAGAGCCAGTTAGCCAGAAGAGTATTATGCTCTCCATCCCCAACCAGTGCGGCCTTTTTCAGTGGCTGGCTCAGCCCAGATGGCAACACTTAACAGTTATAAACCAGATAGTCAGAATTACTGCAATGGACAGCAAGGTTGGAGTGACAGCCTGGGGCTTGTGCTGGCCATATGGATCTTTGGAGATGGCTAATAGAAAATGATGTTACTAGAGACGGGATATGTGGGAAACCCACTTGGATGCAGGATCCAAAGTGTGGCTGATTCCCAGGAACCACCCCCAAATATTATGAACTACCTTGTGTTAGGGTAGGATGGGGCATGTACAGGTCAAGGGATAAATGGCCCATGTCCTCTGGTTTCTGAATATATAATTGGAATGGCCATACTTATAGCAGCTGGAAGAACATTCATTTCAGTTCTTTGACCAGTAACAGCTATTGTACTAACAGAGGCCAAATGGAAGTCCCTGAAGTGTCCTCCTTCAGGGAAGATAGTAAGTAAAAGGCAATATTGCGTCCAAGGGGAATGGTAGAGATTAGTGTCGCCCTGAAAGATTTTCAGGGATTAGGGTAGTGGTCCCCGCTCACGTCTATATAATTTTACCACTTTGATTCCTGAAAAATCAAGGATTATGGCAAATTTTACTGGATTCTTGCAAACTTAACCAAGTTTTTTTTTTATTAAAGTTTATTGGTATGACAATAGTTAATAAAGTTACACAGGTCTCAAGTGTACAATTTTGTAATGCATCATCTATATATTGCATTACGTGTTCACCACCCAGAGTTAGTTCTGCTTCCATCATCATATATTTGATCCCTTTTACCCTCTTCTACCACCCCTCCTACCCTCTTACCCTCTGGTAACCACTAAACTGTTGTCTGTGTCTGTAAGTTTTTGTTTCTTTATTTGTCTTGTTCCTTTGTTGCTTTCAGTTTTATATCCCACATATGCATGAAGTCATATGGTTCTCAACTTTTTCTGTCTGATTTATTTCACTTAGCATGATAATCTCAAGATCCATCCATGTTGTCGCAAATGACACTATTTCATCTTTACTTATGGCAAAATAGTATTCCATTGTGTATATATACCACATCTTCTTTTAATCCCAATTGTAGCTGTTGTGTTGGATGTGGTATCTTCACCACAGAAGACACAGCCTCAAGTACATAGACTTTGGCTAGATAAGTGCATTATTTTTCAATATCCATCATGACAGTGGATCAGAGACATTTCATATTTATATGCAATAGATACACATTTATGACCTTGCCCCAGCTCTGTATAATTTTCCTGTTGTGTGTCACAGTAT